GGTACCCATATGAAGTACAAACACCCAAGAAGAGGTGTCATGAGCATTATCATCTGTAACTCTGGGATTTCAACTCTTATTGATAATTTTGATAAAATTGCAGAATGTCCTGTGATGCTTTAAAAAATACAGATTCCTGGATATGATTCAGTAGGTGTGGTCACCAGCCCCAGTGATCCCTGCCTCCCGACAGTCACACCTTTGTGCAGTCCCTTCTGCGGTGTACCAGGGTTGGTGTGTTTGCAATCAACATATGGCATGTGGTAGAGTGATAGCATGTCACTTCTGAGATTACGTTATAAAAGATGGGGACTTCTATGTTGGATGCTCTCTCTCTCTCTCTCTCTCTCTCAGATCACTTGCTTTGGAGGAAGCCTGCTGCCATGTTGTGAGGACTCTCAGCAGTTTACGAAGAGGCCCACATGGCAAGAAATTGAGGCCTTCTGCCAACAACCAAGGTGGAACTGAGGGAACCGTGTGAGGGGGCCGTGACGGAAGGAGGCCCTCCAGCCCCAGTCAAGCCTTCAGATGGCTACAGCCCTGGCCATTGGCCTGACTACAACTTCAGGAGAGACCCCCTGAGCCAGAACCCCCAGCCAAGCTGTTCCCAGATTCCTGGCTCTCTGAATGTACGTGTGATGGTAAATGTCTGTTTTTTTAAGCTGCTAGATGTTAAACTATTTATTATATGGCGGGAGATAATTCATGCAGTGGGTCTATGGTAAGGCCAGAAAGCTGTAGATTTAAAAGCTTCCCAGGCAGATCTGATGTGCAGCCAAGGTTCGGTACCATGGGTTTAGGGGTCTATCTGCTGAGAGTTTTCTGGGGGCAAAGCTGATTCAAAGTGGCGTGTGTGTATGAGTATCAAAGCCCTGCTACTGTGTGGACCCACACTGCACATGGAGACGAGAAGTGGAGACCTCCACTACCAGCAGCCCCTAACTGCTTAAGTGTCAGACGCGGCCCCGGAGAACCAGGAGTGCTTGCTGACTTACTGCTCCCTGGAAGAAAGAGAGAAAACATGGAATATGCAACCTGAGGGGGGCCTTGGCCTGATGATTTTCACCATTTGTTTAGTAGTAGAACCATTTCCTCAAATGAAATAATTCACAGTAGACTGGTTTAGAGACACCAGGGGAGCAGTTCTGGGTGAGCCCAAGTAGGGGCCCCTGAGCCTGCTTCTCCAGCCTCCCTACTCCCCACCCCTAGTAGCACCCCCAAAGAACCTCTGAAAAACCCAGGAGCTTCAGTTTGCAAACCTGTGATCTAGTCCAACTGGGTCATTTTACTAATGAGTAAACTGAGGCCCAGGGAGGGGAGGTCACACAGCACTTCTGGGGCAGAGGTCTACAGCTTGATTCTCCTGACTTCTAGTGCAATCTTTCTGCACTGCCTGGGAGGTCACTTAGGAAAAGTGCACAGGGTGGGGTACAGGGAACTGCTCCCTCTCCCACCTCGTAACCAGGCTATTCGAGTCCACCATCAGAGGGAGGGAGCACCTGCTACGCACCAGGCATTGTTCTCAATGCTTCACATGAACTCAGTACTCAATCTTCGCCAACGCCCCTATGAAGTAGAGATTGCCATTACCTTCATTTTACACAGGAGGAAACTGAGGCAGAGTGACAATAAGTAATTAGCCTGATTCCTTGCTTAGTCAGTGGCAGGGCCAGGATTCCATAAAGTCCATGTCTGGGGTCTAGACACCAAGCCCTTAACCCCTGAGCTCTGCTGCCTCCCTCCTAGCCAGGGGCCCAGCTATTCCTGCCCTTTGAGCAGAAATGAAAGGCCCTCCACTCTGCTCTGCTCCCCTGGGAGCTAGGAGACAGGCGCCAAATAGGAGAAAGAGGTCAGACCTGTTAGTTTCCCAGCCCGGATGTCCCAGGCTTCTGGCTCAAAGGCCACTGAAGGGTCAACACCTCACCTAGGGAAGGGGGAATCTGGATCCTCACCTGGATCTGTGCCTCTCAAATGATTTTTTCTATCAACAGTGAATGCTGTAGGCATTTAGGAATGGAGCAATAAAACAGTAATTTCTGAGTACTTTATCCTTTAATTGTTTGCACCAAAGCTAGCTTTATATTCACGGTAATAATTTAATACAGATCCAACCCAGAGGATGTTTCATGCACTGATACTCCATGCCATTGACCTACACACCATGGCTGAGGATACTGGTTCTTTTTTCTCTCAAACTTACAGGAAAGGTAAGGACAATACAAAGAACTTTCCTATGCTCCTCACTCAGATCCCCTGACTGTTAAAGCTCACCATTTGCTCTTCATTCCATCTGTGTATCTACATACCCATTATTTTTTGTTTCTCTAAACATTTGAGGACAGGCTGCAGACAGGAAGCCCCATATCCCTCAAATCCTCTACTGTGTATTTCTGAAAAACAAGGACACTTGTCTCTATAGCCATCATGTAGCCCTTCAAGTCAGGACACCAACACCCAGGCAACACTGCTCTCCCCTTGCCCCACAGATCCCCATTCACGTTCTCCAACTGTCCAATAAAGTCTTCTGGTCCAGGATCTCAGCAAAGAACACACGTGGCATTCAGTCTGCTTCTTTAGGCCCCTCCAACCTGGAAGATTCCTCAGTCTTTTCCTGTCTTTCATATGCAAGCTATTTTAGGGAATGGTCCTTACATTTGTTTCCTCGTGACCAGACTCAAGCTGTGCTTTCTTAGCAGGAAACCCCTCAGAAAGGATGTTGGGTTTCTCTGTGCTGCACACCAGGCAGCACGTGGTGGCTACCCGTCCTGTCGCTAATGACCTTAACCTCCATCATATGGTCAGATTAGACTCTGGCAGGTTTCTCCACCATAAGGTCACATATTCCCCTTTGTAATGAGGTGAGCCCTACGTGTGCCCCAGTCTGGTACCTGGAAGAGAATTTGCAGTCTACAACACAGGGGGAGTAGTCTACACAGAGCCAAGTGGTCTCAATGAGTTATGGGGAAAGAGTTTAAAATTCAGGGAGTCTGAGGCAACTAGAGTTTGCAAGGCAGAGCACCAGAGAAGAGAAATCCAGAAATCTGCAGCTTGGGGAAACTTCCAGAGCCAGTAGAAGGCTTCCTGAAAGGAATAGACAGAACAATCCCCTGAGATCACACAGGGCTAGAAATAGTCTATGTTTCCAGTGGATGAGGTAAAAACACTCCCATTCGGAAGCAATCTCAGAGGGTACTGACTCAGTAGTAGAGTAAGATGTATCCTAGACTAAAGGCCTTCCACCTAACAAGGCTTTAAAAGCAAGCCTTGAAAAGATCAAACTCTTCGGAAGTAACTTAACTGTGCTCCAGAACAATGCCCCAAATGTTTAAATGAATACCAACAAAAATCCAGCACCCAACAATGTAAAATTCCTAATACCTGGCATTTAATCTAAAGTCACCAGGCACAGCAGAGTGGCGCAGCGGAAGCGTGCTGGGCCCATAAAATCACCAGGCACGCAGAAAAAAATATGACCTATATCCGGAGAAAAATCAATGAATTGAAACAGACACTGAAATGACATGGATGACAGAATTAGTAGAGAAGAACCTTAAAACAGTTATTATAAATATATTTCTTATGCTCAAGAAGATTGGGGAAAGCATGGGCATGAAGAAGAGAGAAATGGAAGAAAGAGAAAAAAGATCCAAAGTGAACTTCTAGACACGAATAATACAACATCCAAAATGAACAATATACTGGACAGTATTAATGGTAGGTTAGGCTTTGCAAGAAAAGACTAGTGAACCTGAAGACATAGCAATGGAAACTATCCAAAATGAAGCACACAGAGAAGAAAGACTTAAAAAAAAATTAAGCAGAGTTTGGTGAGCTGTGGGAAAATATGAAGAAGCACAGCAGACATATCATTGGAATCCCAGTGGTGGGAGGAGGTGGTAGCTGAAATTTTTCCAAAAAAAATTTTTTTTTTTTAAGATTTTATTTACTTATTCATGAGAGAGAGAGAGAGGCAGAGGGAGAAGCAGACCTCCCGCAGAGCGGGGAGCCCGATGTGGGACTCGATCCCAGGACTCCGGGATCATGACCTGAGCCGAAGGCAGACGCTTAACCATCTGAGCCACCCAGGCGCCCAAAATTTTTCCAAATTTGATGAAAACCATAAACTTACAGATCCAAGAAACTCAATAAATGCCAAGTAGAAGAAACAAAGAAAAACCAGCTCAAGGCACATCCTCTTCAGATTGCTGAGACCTTGACTGTACATTCAATTGTCTCTCATTAATGGGCCCAAGGCATGAACACTGAACCCACAAAATGGGACAAGCACAAAGGGAGCAGGAAGAGAATGGGTGCAGGTAAAGTGGCATGAGATTCAGAAGAGAAGGAAAGGGTGACGTGGTGAGTGTGGTGGCAGGTCAGGGTCAGAGCAGGCTCAGTCACCTAGGAGACTGGCTCGCACTCCGTTGTGGCAGGTCCCAACCCCGTACCCGGATGCAGATTCCTACTATTTCTGCACCAGAAGCATCTAAAGACTCAGATCTGCTTTCTCTTTGCTGAGTGGATCCTATTGTCCTGGAGCCTGGCTCAATTCAGGGAAAGGAGCCCAAATGGCGATAAAATCAGCAAGCACAGCGGACACCTGGAGGCTGGCAGGACAACTCCACTTTTCAAAAGCCTAAAAATAGCCCTGACCACGCTGGAAATGCCAGCAGCCCCACCAGTCCCACTGGAACACACTGCAGGACGCCTCACCTGCAGAGATTTCAGGTCAAGGGACAAAAAATTTCCAAGTGCGCCGAGTTGCCAGAGCATGGCCTCATTTCATCTCTGGGGGATGTCAGGCCTGCCACCGATGCCTATAGCATAGCCAAGAGCGTGCTGCCACACGCATCACCATGGGACACCCTGGACCTCGGCAGGCGCCCACCCCTGCCCATCTCCCACTGCCAGAGCAAGGGGCCAAAAGAGCAGGTAGGCTCTGCCCAGGCTGAGGATCAGGACCTGGCTGGGGGGGTTGGAGACTCTGTTCCTGCACCTACCTGCCAGGCTGGGAGGACCTTCTCGATGTCATTCAGGTTGATGCCATCCCCATCTTCTAGCTTCCCTTTTCCACACCTGGACCAGAAAAGACAGAAAGGCACTGAAAAGTTGGCATGTTCATGCATCCTATCCCGGCCCGGCAAGCAGGAAGAGCAGACACCTGGCCTTGCCTCCCCAAGGCCTGCAGGATCAGTCTGTCCCACCCAGAGGAAACAGCTCTGGAGAAGCATGCCTTCCTTCCTCAGGCCTGGCAACACAGGCCCTGCCTCGGGAACGAAGGACTTTGTGCAGGTGGGCATGCTGGGACCAGTCCCGGGGCAGGGAGCACTAATGTGACATCCAACCCCCAGGGAGGGTAACAGAGGTACTAGAGCTCCCCTGGATCCTTCCAGGCAAAGACGCTAAGCTCCCTGCCGATGAATACCCCAAAACCTATCACAGCTCCAGCAAAAGCCCATCATCTCCCCCATTATACCAAAGGGACAATGAATGAACAGAAAGACCAAACAACTTTCTTGAGGTCACACAGGCCAGCAACAGGGATTTCTCCTTCCTTGGCCTGCCTCTCAGCCTGTCCAGCGAGCCCACTCAGATGCTGATGCTTTGTCTTCATGCCCTCCGTGGGCAGGCCTACCATCAGGGCACAGACACTGGCCTCGATTCGCTATCAAACACCCATGTCTTCTGTGTATGGAAGGTGCAGACTCGGACCCGACTGCCAGGCTGGAACCCCAGCTGCATCCCTTACTAACTGGGGGACCCTATGCAAGTCACGTAACCTCTCCGAACCTCAGTTTCCCCATTTGTAAAATGGGGATCATTAGTAGTGTCTAACTAAGGTGGTAGGATGATTAAACCAGTTAATGTATCCAAGTGCTTACAATCATGCCCGGCGCGCACGAGCGTGCTTGCACACGCACACACCCCCATATATACAACCATATTTGCATACCATATTTAACGGTAAACATATTATTATGGTAAATATGGGTAATAATCACATCAAGTTATAATAAGATAAATAATATGGTGCCATTAGGGCTAACACTCCTAGTACTAATACTGTTTCCAACTATCTTACTAGTACTCCTACTATTACTGTTTTGTACTTTTTTTAAAAAAAGATTTTATTTATTTGACAGAGAGAGACACAGTGAGAGAGGGAACACAAGCAGGGGGAGAGGGAGAGGGAGAAGCAGGCTTCCCACGGAGCAGGGAGCCCGATGCGGGGCTCGGTCCCAGGATCCTGGGATCATGACCTGAGCCGAAGGCAGACGCTCAACGACTGAGCCACCCAGGCGCCCCTGTTTTGCTGTGGCTGCTGCCGGGGAAGAGAGCACCAGCAAGGAGACTGATTAAGAGCCTAGACCCTGGAGCTGACCTCAGCCCACGAAAGTTACTCATTTCTCTGCACCTCCGGGCTCCCGCAACTTGTCGACGTGAATAATGCTCCTGCCTCCCTAGGTTTGGTGAGTTTTAAATAATACGAGGTGAGCACTGGGAACGGTGCCCAGGATGGATTAGTGACCACTGCTCTCATTGTTATTATTAGGGACCCAGGCATGGTGAGGGCTGCCTGGTGTGATGGCTGCGGCATTTTCCAGCTGCAGAATTAATGCAACTCTCAAATTTCAGAGCATTTATTTGTTCAATATTTGCCAAGCATCTCTTGTGTTTTTGGCCTTGTTAACCTCCCTTGGAGTCATGGAAAATAAATCTGGTGTAGTTCCTGCCCTCCACAACTCAACAGCTCTTGGGAAACAAATCCTAAACTCATCTGACAGGGCAGTGAGCCTGACCACCAGTAGGGGGCAGCATGTGATAAGCGTCAGGGAAGCCTTACAGAAGGCAGAGCCGGGGTGGCTGCATATCCTAGCAAGACTTGGGTGGAAGAGGGCAGAGGATGTGAGCTATGCCCCCGTTCAACAAGTGTTTCTGTGTGGGCTCCAGCTCAGGCTGGGCCCCAGTGTAAACCATGCATAGACTGGGCCTCTCGGGGCAACCAAGGGCAGCCCAGGAACCGACAGGAATGCTGCCCAGACCGTCCAGAGGCATCCAGAATGGTCTGGGGCAGAGGGAGGGAGGTGGGTCATGAGCTGGCCAAGCAAAGAACTCGGGAGAATGTCCTGGGCAGAGGGCAGCAAGGCAATGGCCTGGAGCTAAGCCCAAGTATGTTGCCAGCTGGGATGTCAGCCTTCCTGCCAGGGGAGTGGGGCGGGGGTGGGGGTGGGTAAAGGGGCAAGATGGTGCTAGAGGGCCGGGGCTGGAAGGATAGCTCAGGTTCTGGGAGGTGGAGCTGGGGTGGGAGGGGTGTAAGGAGGGTGTGAAGGGCATGAGGGAAAAGAGGAGAGTTCTTGCTCCCGCTGCCCCCACCCCAGCCTCCTGATGCCCTGGGCTGCATGTAGGTAAGGAGGCGGAGAAAGGTCTGGAAACATCCAGCTACCTTTTAACTACAGGCTGGCTGGTGAAGGTACCAATGGCTTGCATCTGTATTTCATGCTTACCATGGCAGCGGGAGGTGTGGAAGCTGGGGACCGCTGGCTGACTGGAATGGCTGATACCCTCACCCCCAGATCACGTACGCTACCCCCCACCTCTGGACTCCCAGCTGCCCCGAGCTCCAAGCACATGCTACACACCAGCTTAGCTCAGCACAGGTGCCTTGGCAGCCCCTGGGGGCGGCAGGGGACTGCGTGCAGGGAGAGCTGCTGTCCCCCTAGACCGTCCTGCCTGGGATTCGGAACTCCCTGGAGGGACTGCAGGTTCGGAGGGCAGAAGGTTGCTACCACCCAGCTGAGTCACTGCTGCCAACAGGGTTTCCAAGGCAACAGCCTTCTCTGATTTCTGTCCCTCCATGGAAACATGGGCTGCGGGAAGCCTTGGCAACCAACCTTGGTACCCTGCTTCCGAGGGATGCTGCAGTGGCTGGGCACGTGGAGTCCGCCCCCAGTATGGCTGGACTCTAAGGGTGACACAGTTCCTGCCTCACCCACAAGGTGGCCACTGGATGCTACACCCACGATCCCCCAGGAACCTGGGGAGGCCTGGTCTCGCCTCTGCTCTATCCCATTCTAATAGGGTGCCTCCATGCTGAAGGCCATCTCCCCTCTCTACCCAAGCAAAAAATGCTCTTAGGAGCTCTGATGGAACCCACACAGGCAGGATGATGGAAAAAGGAGCCGTGGTGAGAGGCTGGGGTCTCCTGGGAGAGTATGAGGCAAGTGATGGGTCTCTCCCCAGAAAAATTTATACAAGCATGTGATTTTGCATGAAACTTTAAGGGGGTTAAGCTGATTCACAGATACTCTGTTATGGTGACCTGGGCACTGGATGGCGTCAGAAGGCCTTAAATCATGGCTCTTCCACTTGGGCAAGTTAGTCTGCCTCTCTGAGCTGCATTTCTCTCATCTCTGAAATAGGGACAAGAGCATCTCCCTCCCTAGATTGTTGTTCATGACACTGGTGAGACCAGGGTGGCCAGAGAGGGGGTGCCCACTAGGGTGGGGTAGGGAGCAGGTGAGAGGCAGTTATGTTTAATATAACCAATAATACCAGTTATGTTTAGATCTGCAGTGACGGGAGGCGGGAGTGAACAGGAAGGGATTGGAAGGAAAAGTAAAAGCCATCGCATAATTAAAAAAAAAAAAGGGGGGAACAACCAATGTTGGCTAAGATGTGGAAAAATCAGCAACCCTGAATATTGCTGTGGGAATGCAAAATATTCAGCCTTCGTGGAAAATCATTTGGCCATTTCCTCAAAAACTTAAAACATGGAATTACCATGTGTGGTATTGTGATTTATATAAGATATATTTGGTCTGTGTCCCCAGTCCTGGTACAGAACTAAAATCCTTGGAATTTCTTAAGCCAAGACAGAGATCAAGGTGTCTTTTGTTATGTTAATGAGGCGACTTTTGCAAAAAAACACCTAGGGAACCTAAGGGAGGGGGCTACTTGACAGGGGACCCAACTATATGATGGGAGGGTTAGAACTTTCAGTCCTGACTCTGACCTCCAGGGAGGGGAGAGGGGCTGAAGTTGGAATCAATCGCCAATGGCCAATGATTCGATCAATCACGACTGTGTAATGAAGCCTCCACAAAAGCCCAAAAGGAGAGGCTTTAGAGAGCGCCGGGGTGGAGAGCACGGGGAGATTCTGGGAGAGTGGCACTCTGGACAGGGCATGAAGCTCGGCACCTTTCCCCATCCCTCGTCCTATGCCTCTCTTCCATCTGGCTGTTTCTGAGTTACATCCTTTTATATAAACCAGTCATTTAGTGAGTACAGAGTTTTCCCAACTCCCATGCACCCCCCCCCCCCAGCAAATCAATAGAAGCCAGGGAGGGGGTCGCTGGAACCCCCAATCTAGAGCCAGAGATCTGAAGCACAGATGACAGCCTGGCCTTTTGACTGACATCTGCAATGCGGGGAGGGGACAACGTGTAGGACTGAATTCTCAACCTGTGGAGTCTGACACTTTTTTCCAGGTAGATGGTGTCAGAATTGAGCCAGATCGCAGGATACTCAGCTGATACCAGAAAACTGCTTGGTGGTGTTGGGGAAAAAACCACACACACTTCAGAACTGGTGTCAGAATTAGACTGTGTGACTCAGCAATTTCATCCCCAGGCTCATACCCCGAAGCATTGAAAACAGGGACTGAAACAAATAGTTATACACGAATGTTCATCGCAGAATCATTCACAATAGCCAGAGCATGGAAAGAACCCAAACGCCCATTAGCAGATGAATGGATAAACAAACAGGGATAGAGCCATGTGATGGAATATTATGCAGCCACAAAAAGGGATGAAGTGCTGATAGATGCTACAATGTGGATGAACCTCAAAAATATGCTGAGTGAAAGAAGCCAGAGCCCAAAGACCACATATGATCCCATTTCTATAAATATCTGGAAGAGGTAAATTCACAGAAACAGAAAGCACACGGGTGGTTGCCAGGTATAAGAAGGGGCTGGGGTGTAACTGCTTAGTGGATCTGATTCTATTCTGGGCCGTTGAAAATGTTCTGGAACTACAGGGAGGTGGTAGCTACCCCATATTATGAAAATATGCAACGAAACTAAATTGAACACTTCAAAATGGTGAATGCATTGTTATGTGAATTCTAAGTTAATAACAATCATTTTAAAAAGAAAGGGAAAAAACCCCCATCTGTCTCATTCCCCTGTGTCAGGCACATTGCTGTCCTGAGGTCAGCCCAGGCCCGGACACATCATTGAGAGAAGAAGGCAACGCTGATACACGAAGAAAGCAGAGGATGAGACAACCCGGTGTTAAGATCAACCACTACACCAGTGGTTCTCAAAGTGGGGTCCCTGGACCAGCAGCACCAGCATTCCTTGGGAACTTGTTAGAAATGCACATTCTCAGGCCCCAACCCAGAACTTCTGAATGGGAGTTCAGGATGTTCTGGCTGTTTTGACAAGTCTCCCAGGGGTCCTGATCAAATGTGAGACCCACTGCACTTGATGGCTGACAAGCAGAGCCGTGGTGGTCATGAAGAGGAGCAGGGGCTGCGGATGGAGGGGGCTGGGCAGGGAAGCGTGGAGGGATTCTGGAGAGAGGCCAGTGAGCCTGCAGTTCTAGGTGGAGAGCCTCTCTGGACATCAGCCACCTATGTGTCCCCAGTTCAGCAGAGATGCCTGCCTGCCCAGAGAAAGGCCCCTCTCAACCCCAGGACGGCTGCAACCCCACCCACCCCCATGTAAGAGCCCCTGGTCACTCCTTACCCTTCCCGGTCGATATGTGGCAGGGGCTGCTTGGGGGTGTGTCTCAGCTTCCGGTGGAACTGGGTGAAGTCCAGCTTTTCAGGCTGCAGGTCCCAGGTGGCACCACTAGAGGATGAGAACAGGTGAGGAAGTGAGGTAAGGGGGCGACCAGCCCAGTTACTGATGGGGACCAGACAAGCGGACACAGGGAGTGTCCTCACAAAGAGCTGGGCTGGACGGGGAAGGCCCCCACCAGCCAAGGGCAGGATGGACAGAGACCCGTCACTCGGAACAGAGGCTGTGGTGTCAGCTCTGTGCTCACAGACAAAGGGGCAGGAAGCTGCGCGCGAAGCCCCCACCTCTCCTCCGCGCTGCTGGGCAATAATGCGGGCCTATAAAACAAAAGTGTCGGTCTGATGCTTACCCTACAGCGGTCCCCTAAAACACTCCAGAGTTTGCTTTCACACCTCCATTTGAGGAAGGCTGGAGAAAAAGGAGGCCAAAAACCTGAAGCTTCTGATAGCAGCTCAAAATGGAGGCAAGGCAGCTCTGAGGTAGACAAGGCAAGTCAGCACGGCAGGATGCCGGCTGCCACCAGCCCCAGTCCCAGGAGACCACGGTGCTTCTGTTCTGAGTCTGAGCCAGGGGTGTGCCTGGAGCATGCCCAGTGTCAGCCAGCTCCAAGCCAGGGGCAGAGTAGAGTTAAAGGGCCACTGCCATCCATAGTCCGAAGCTATCCCTCCCCAGAGGAGTGAACATATGGTAGGGACCCATTAGCAAAGCTTTCAGGGGCACCATCCCCACATACTGAGGAAACCCTGGTCAATACCTGTTCTTCCAACCTGGCCCATCAGGAACCTTCTAGAATCTGAACCACTGACAACCCTTCTTTCCTCCAGACCTCCCTGCAGCCATCACCCCCAATGCCCATCAGGAACCTTCTAGAATCTGAACCACTGACAACCCTTCTTTCCTCCAGACCTCCCTGCAGCCATCGCCCCCAATGCCCATCAGGAACCTTCTAGAATCTGAACCACTGACAACCCTTCTTTCCTCCAGACCTCCCTGCAGCCATCGCCCCCAATGCCTATGACCCCGGGAGCGGCGGGCGGGGGGGGGGGGGCGGGTATCTGCAGTCACAGCCACCTGTCCCTGGCTCTAACATAGGTTGCCTGGTGTGTGCCACGTGCCATTGTCCTTTGCTCTTCCAATCACCAGTCCACTCCTCTGCCTTCTCTCCCTCTTCCCTGTAGTTGGACTGTTAGCATGTCTTCTCTTTCCCCTTAACCCTCTCTCAACCTCTTCCTTCTCTTTCTCTCTTTCCTTTGGATGCTCTCCCCTCATTTTCCTTCCTTCCATCTCCTTCTCTCTTTCTCTCTCTGACCTCCTTCCTCAGCAGTCTCATCCTTTCTACTTCACCCTCTCTTTGTTTCTCTCCACTTCTTGATCAGTGAACACTCACCATTTACTCAACCTCTAAAGACCCCACGGGGCTTCTATAAGGACAAGAAGCTGGCATTCCAGCCAGAGGCATATGGCACAGACAAGAGGAAGAGGAGCTTACCTGAAGGAATCAAAGGTGTTGGCAGCCCAGATATCCGTGCCCAGCATGTCCAGAGAGTTGTCTTTGCTGCCATTCTGAAAGAAACAGGGGATGAGAAGGGTGGCATTATTTGCTAGGTCAGGACACCGAGAAGAAGTGGGCAAAGGCCCATTCCCAGAGAGGGCTGCAGAGGTCTCCCCCCTTGGGTGGTCATTCTGGGCAGGCTGTGGGCTGGAGAGAGCCACTGAAGTGGGCATCCTGGCTGGTGCCCCCAGTAAGAGTCACAAGGACCCCTGGCATCCCCCCAGGCACAGGCCCCCCCCCCTTCAATGGTATCTGACACCTGTGTGGTCAGTACAGAAATAGCCTGGGTCTCTGCTGCCCCCAGCTCATGGCTCTGTCCTCAAAGCTGCCACGCTATTGAGCTGCAGCCTGATAGCAGTGGCTTCTTCCTAGGCACAGAGGCTCTGCAAAGCCAGACACGGTGGCAGGTCCGTGTGGAGGGGCTGGCTTCCTCTGGAGTTAAGCCCCCATTTCACAAAATCAGGCAGCACTGAGAAGCCCCCATTGACCAAGGCTACACCAGTGATTAACTTCTCTAAGTCAACCTGCTCCAGTCTTTGTCCCCCAGTATTTCCTACATGATACATCCCGTAGACAGAAAGCACTTTATTCCATCCGGTTTCTATAATATGGCTTCTCTGCCCTTTGGCTGACGATCTCCCCAAGTTGTCCAGCAACGTGCCTTCACTCCTGATGTCATCCATCCCTCGTTACCCCTACAGGCCACTTTCATCATCACACTCTTTACAAACAACACTTCCACCTCCGGTACACCTGGGCGTGTGCATGCCTTATGACCCAGAAGTCACGCCCAGGTACAAACACAACTGAAACGTGCACAAATGTTCACTAACAGTATGAAGCACAGAGGTGCAGAGCAGGACTCTGCATAACACATCCACACTGGAAACCACCTAAATGCTTACCAGCAGTTGACCAGACACATAAACTGTGGTATAATTCACATACTGGAATTTTACCCAGCCGGGAGAATGAACAAATTAAAACAACATACAATAGCATAAGTAAATTCCCCCAAACACAAAGTAGAACAAAAGAACCCAGACACAAAAAAGTGCCAATTCTATGATTCGATTTATATAAAGTTCAAGAACAGGCAAACTAACCTGTGGAGACAGAATTCAGATAGTACCTGGAAGGGGACCCCAGAGGGGGTACGGGGTGGGGGCTGGTAATGTTCTGTTTCTTGATCTGGGTGCTGGTTACAAAAATGTGTTCAGCTTGTGAAAACCCACTGAACTGTACGCACATGATATGTGCACTATTTTCCATGTGTGTTAGGACCTCCTGGTTAGATTCTTGGTAGTATTCCCTGTCTTTATGACTGATCTCTCCCCAAACTTGCCATGTCTCAGGTCCTTTAGCTCCTACACTGGACAATCTTCTTTTGAGACCTATCCCTAGGCCTAGGCCTGGCCAGACACTGAAGACACAGAAGTAGAAAAGTCACAGGCCCTACCTGCAAAGAATGGTGTATGATGACACAAATATAGTAAATAATTACAAGACAGTGTGATACATACACTGATTCAAGGGGCCACAACTTTCCTGGGGACTTTCCGTGAGCAGAGGTTGCAAGTATTCAGGAGGGTCAGGCAAGCAGAGGGAAAAGCAGGGACAGGGTCATCCTGGCAAAGGGGACGGAGTGTGGAAAGGGCAGGACACGACAGGATGTTCTAGGTAACTTCAGGGCCTCTATGGAGCACAGCAGCCTGGGGAGTGTCCAGGAGCCCCAAGCCCTGGGTGAGTTGGTGGTCTCCAACTGTCTCCACTCTGTCCCGGCCAGGACTTCCTAGGAGCCCCACAAGTATTCCTCAGTGATGGTTGGGTTTGCACGGTGGCCCCCTCCAATGCATATATTGAAGTTCTAACCCCCAGTACTCAGAATGTGACTCTATTTGGGAATAGGGTGGTTGCAGATGGAATTAGTTAAGATGAGGTCATACGTGTGGGCCCTAATGCAATATGACTGGTCTCATAAAAAGAGGAAATTTGGACACAGAGACAGACACGCACAGAGGGAGGATGCCATGGGGAAATCAGAGGCATGCTGCCACAAGCCAAGGATCTACTGGGAGCTGGGAGAGAGACCTGGACCAGATCCTTCCTTGGTGCCTTCACAGAGATACATGGCTCTTCCAACATCCTGATTTCAGATTTCTGGACTCCAGAATTGTGGGATGACAATACCTTTCACTAGGTTGACCCAGTTTGGGGGTCAGAAGTGTGAAATCAAGCAGCTCTAGCAAAATAATATGGCGATCAACCATCCATCTCTCTACAAACTCCCTTTGTGAGGGTGGTCAGTTGTGTCCCTTTCTCCCGCAGTCAGCATTTGCCCCTGCCCCACCCCATGACCTTCTCCTGTCCTCATAGTCACACCAAACACCTGAGGGCTAGGGTCTCCCAAATCCTACAAACAAAGCAGCCTGGGCAGACAAGCCCAGACCCAGGCCGGCTTGGGCTGGTCTCTGACTCCCAATATCCACCTCCCCAGGAGCCAGCCCCTGAAAAGCCCCATCTGCTATCTTCCTTGGTGGCCACTCCCCTGCAGACCACAGCCAACATCACCCCAGAGCCTGCTGAACAAAGCCCCAGTGGATAAGAAATGAACCTGGAGCAGGCTCAGTGACCCCAGCCCTGTGCTTCTCCCAGCAAATGGAGATACCAGCACCTTGACAGAGAAAGCCCACGATGTGGGGGTTTGGTTTTGTTTTTGATTCTCTTCATTTTCTTCACGTTGGTCAGAGCTGGTGAGCACACTCTCCTCCCTTACTGCATCATACTCAGCACGCCCGACTCACCAGCCCCTCACGTGGAAACCAACCTAGCTTCCAGGGAGAGTGAGGAGTTTGCAGGTGCATTTCAGCCTTTAATGAATCTGAAGGAAAGGGAACACACTGGCCAGTGGAAAGGTTGAGTAGCGCAGCCTCCCAGCAGAGGGGCCCAAGCGCTCGGCCCCTCACAGACACCGGCAGGAGACAATGAGGGGGTGTAGGGAAAAGGGAGGGCCGTCAATGGGGGGGCTGAGGGAACAAAGGGGAGTGGTGTGTGACCTCAGACCTTATCAGTAAAATGGGGACTGGCCCCTCCCAGTGGCACCACCAGCCAGAAGCCCTAGGTTCTAAGTGAAAACTTTCTCCTCCCCCCGTGCCCTGAGAGCTCCTTCTCCTCCCACTGTGCCACAATCCTCCTGTGAATCAACCACGTTTACTTAGGGCCGTAGGCCTCTCCATATGGTGCCAGATGGCAGCTCTGTGCACTGGGTGCTTCCTACCCACACCTGTCCCGTCCCACGTTCCCGCAATCCCTTTCATTACTGACAGGGTCTTACCAACTCAACCTGCTCCTCGCCTGCCCTTCTCCTTCAAAGCTTGGCTCCTCCAGGAAGCTCATCTCACCTCCCAAACTACAGTCACCTTGCTCTGTCCTGAACTTACCACCCAAGCAGGTGACGTGTGGCAGCAGAGCCCACCTGTGGCAGTTCTCACTCCATCACTCCATCCAGCGATCCCTCCCCTGCACTAGATCAGAGACCCTGGCTGGCAGGCACCTCCCTGGTCCCCCAGGGCTCTTTGCTCACTGCCTGAGAAGTGTCTGCCGAACTGACTTCCACTTCAATGAATTTCCACTGTCTTCCTCAAGCTTGTGTTTTCCTCTTGCCACAGTGACCTTGCCTTGTGACCTCAGTGAAGTCTGGACTTGAGATTCTTTGTATTTAAGTAAAGCGGTCTCTGAGAGTGCAATGCTGTGTGTTACAGATGGGTTTCTTCTGGCACGCACACTGATGCCAAGCCCTCTCCCACCAGGGGCAGACATCACTAATCAATCATGGCATGATTTACAGTCCTCAAATTAGCTGACTGCTAATATTCCAGATCACCCCCTCTCCCTCCCTTCTTGAGTTGCTTCATCATCCTCCCCATCCCAACTCCTGGTGCCTGGCTTGCTTCAAATGCAATTTTGAAATTGCACATGGCTAGAGAGACTCACAATCAACCCCCACAAGGAGACAGCCCCCAGGCCTCCTGAGATGTTAGCTGGTCCAGGCCTCAAATGCAATAATCCATGAGCATTTCACAATTTTTTAAGTAGGCTGCATGCCTACCATGGGGCTTGAACTCACAACCCTGAGATCAAGAGTCACACGCACTCTTGACCTAGCCAGCCCTCATGGGTAGTAGAGCATTTCAGATGCAAAGGTCAAAAAACAACAACAAAATCAAAGAAACAAATAAATTCTGCTTCCGAAGTACATGTCTGAGACCTCACCCAGAGTGAAGTTCACCGTCCTTCAGAGTAGCACACGAAGTCTCTTTCCCTGATCCCCTATGCTTTAAATACCCAACTGACTCTGGCACTTACAAATTCAGCCTAAGGGGACCATTGCTTGTCATGGTTCCCTTATAAGAATGTTAAATATTGGGGTGACTGGGTGGCTCAGTTGGCTAAGCATCTGACTTGTGATTTTGGCTCAGGTCATGATGTCAGGGAGCCCCGTGTCAGGCTCCACACTCACCCGGGAGTCTGCTGGAGATTCTCTCTCTCCCTCTCCCTCTGCCCTTCCCCCAACTTGCACTCTCTCTCTCTCAAATAAATAAATAAATTTAAAAAAAAAGTTAAATCTTCCAGGTTTTTTTCCCAAATTGTTTTCTTGCGGTAAAGTGCACACAACATAAAATTTACCATCCTAACCATTTCTAAGTATACGGTTCAGCGGCATTAAGTACGCTCACATGGTTGTGCAGCCCTCATCATCATCCTTCTCCAGCACTCACCCTGTAAAACTGGACCTCCAATCCCACTGGATGCTAGCTCCCCATTTCCCCTCCCCCTTCCCCAGCCCCCACCTTCCTACTTTCTGTCTCCATGATTTGCACCACTCTGATACCTCACCCGAGTGGAATCATACAGGATTTGTCTTTTTGTGACTAGCTGACTTCACTTAGCATAATGTCCTCAAGGTCCATCCATGAGCCCAGCCTCACACCTGGAGCCAGACTTGTAAGCC